GTTTGTTTTTTTGTCTGTTTTTGAAACAGGGTCTTACTAGTGTAGTTTAGGCTTTCCTTGAACTTGCAGGGCTCCTCCTGCTTCAGCCTCCCCAGTCCTGGGATTACAGGCGTGCAGTGACACGCCTGATGGGTACAGCAAGTTTAAGAACCTGTTTGGACTACATACACTTTCTTTTTTTTAGTATGTGCTATAAGTGCATTATTGATATATTCATACTTGTACTTTTTAAGCATTTGATGAGGGTGTAATATTAAAAATTCTTCGATGGGGGTGCTGGGAATCAAGCCCATGGCCTCACACATGCTAGGCCAGTGCTGTGCCACTGAGCCACATCCTGAGCCCTTAAACTCGGAAGATGTGACTTTCAGTGGTCTTGTAAGTTCCCATCACATGAATAGATCATAAAGTTTAAAGTATTCCCCTCTTTTTTTCATTCTGTTTTTGTTTTTGCAGTGCTAGGATCAAACCTAGGGTCTCATGCATGTAAAGTGAGCTGCCTACTACTGAGCTACCCCCCCCAGCCTCTCATACACATAAATTTATTCTAACTTACACTATTGCTGGCCATGGTGGCACACGCCTGTAATCCCAGCACTCGGGAGGCTGAGGCAGGAGGATCTTTACTAGTTCAAGACCAACCTGGGCTGCAAAGTGAGCTCAAGGACCTCCTGAACTGCATAGTGAGATGCTGTCTCAAAAAGACAAAAATAATAATACTTTACACTATTACAAATTATGTTGCAGTGAACATTCCTATATATAAATTCTTGGAAACCTTCTGATAAATCTGTTTCTGCAGTTTTTTAGAATTGAAATTTGTGGTTGAAAAGATCTGCATTCTTTAAGACTTTAGAGCATGGTGCCAAATTATACTGATAGTTTTTAAATTGTCTTCTGATCCTCTTCTACCAGTTTTAAATGATATAATTACTTTTATGAGCTGGGTGCACACCTGTAATCCCAGCACTCAGGAGGCTGAAACAGGTGGATTGCATGGAGTTGAAGGCCAGCCCGTGCTACATAGTGAGTCCAGGGCAGCCTGAACTACATAGTGAGACCTTGTCTCAAAAAATAATAAGATTAAATTTTAAAAATATCCTTCCCTTCCAACATTTTCCTATGTTATAAACTGAAAAAGCAGAGTATCATAGCAGTATTATGCACAAAATAGTATGTTTTTTTTTAGGAAACTTTTCTTTTTTGTTTTTTTTTTTGGTTTTTCTCTGGTACCAGGAACCGAACTCACGACCTTGCGCTTGCCAGGCAGGCGCTTTGCCGCTGAGCTAAATCCCCAGCCCCTTCTTTTTTTTGAGATGGTCTTGCTGCACAGTTGGGGCAGACCTTGAGCTCATTTTGTAGCCCAGGCTGGTCTCGAACTCACAGCGATCCTCCTGCTTCAGCCTCCCAAGTGCTGGGATTACAGGCGTGCATCACCACACCCAGCTCCAAAGTAATAGCATTTTCCACTATCACCAGCAGTAGAATTTCAGTAGCCCAGCACTGGTATGGTATGTCTACTTTTAGCCATTTTAATGGTATCTTATTGTGATTTTTATTACTTTTTCAAAATATAATTCTTCATCACAAATGCATGTACACTTGAATTATATATTACTCAATTTTGCTTAGTTTTGCCTTTTTTTTATTGGTTTTTTGAGACAGGATCTTATTATGTAGTTCAGGCTATCTTTGAACTCACTATGTAGCCCCCAGCTGGCGACTACCATAAGAGTATTACCATTTTTATTTTTAAATTTTTTTCTGGGAGTATGATATTTTCATGATTTCCTTTGGTAAACAAAATTATGTTTCCAATTTTTTCATATTGTATATGGCTATAATTCTTTTTTCCATTGTACTGCTAAGCCGCATTTTACTTGTCCATTCTCTTGCTTTTGAACATTTGAACTGTTTTCCAGTCTTGCTGTTAGGCACATGGCTGCTGTGAACATTCGTGTACATACTTCTTTCTGTACGTATGCAAGAATTTCTCCTGTGTGTGTTTGGCTTTGAGAGATAATGTTAATTGTTTTTCGTTATGTTGTACCAGCTTGCATTCCCATGAACAGTGTATAAGAGCTTTGGTCTAGCACCTCCCCACCAAAAAAGACTTCTATTTTAATACTTGTCAGAATTCTAAATTTTTGCCATTATAATACATGTGAAAGTTTTTTGTGATCTGATTTACATGTTACTATTCAGGAGAACGTGATTGCTTGTGTTTATTAGCTATATTTATTCCCTCCTCCGCCTCTTATCCACATATTTATTGAGTTTGTCTTTCATTTATAGAATTTCCTCAGTCTAGTCTTGAATCTAATCTGAATTGGTTCTGTATAGTAAAAATCTTCTTACTCTATGGAATTTTTGTAGTACAATCAAATTTCTCAACCTTTTCTTTTGGTTGCTTTTTTGTGATAGGTTTTTATGAGTTTTGATTTTATTTGGTTTTTATTTTTTTAGTGATGGAGATCAGCTGCAGGACCTGGCGCCTGCTAAACACATGCTGTACCCCTGAGGTACACCCCTAGCCCAGCTGATAGTATTTTTTTAATGGTACTGTATTTTTATAATTCTTTAAAGACATTTTCTTCTTTATTTTGAATTTCCAGATGTTCTCAAACAGCTTCCAAATATTTTCGTTCCTTTCCCCTTCCTGGTGAACCTCAAAGTTGTATAACCGAGCAGTCTCTTTGCACTCATTCTGTGAGGTGTCATTTTCTCTTTTCTTTTTTTTTTTTGGTTTTTCTCCAGTACCGGGAACCGAACTCACGACCTTGCGCTTGCCAGGCAGGTGCTTTGCCGCTGAGCTAAATCCCTAGCCCCCATTTTCTCTTAATACTGTGATATTTCTTTGGGTGTTTTTTTCTTTTTTTTGTACCAGGAACCGAACTCAGGACCTTGTGCTTGCCAGGCAGGCACTTGTGCCACTGAGCTATATCCCCGGCCCAATACTGTGATATTTCTTAATGACTGAGGGGCAATTATTAAATCACAGATAATCTATAAAATTGAAAAACATTCTTAGCTTAAAAGCTTTTCCTTTTTTTATTTTTTTTTTTTTTCCTGAAAATGTAGGCCAGGCCAGCCTTGAACTCACTATCCTGCCTCAGTCTCCTAAGTGGGGGGATTCCAGGGGTGCACCACCACACCTGGGTCACCTTTTCCTTTTTCCCCAAAAACTTTTTAAAGGTTAAACCTTTTCAGAACAAGTTTTGGGGTTTGTTTGTGTGTGTGGTCCTAGGGATTAGACCTAGGGCCTCACATTTAGGCAAGCACTCTGCCACTGAGATACTTTCTAGCGCTATACAGCTTTTTTTTTTTAAACAGGGTCTTCCTAAATTTCCCCCGCTGGCCTCAAACTTGCAATCCTGCCTGCTCAGCCTCCAACCAGCTGGATTACAGGCATGCACTACTGCGCCTGGCTTTGCAGCAGTTTTACATGTACGGGAATACTGAGCAAGCAGCAGAGTTCCCGTATGTCCTCTCCCCATGAGAATTTCACTGATTAGAGTTCTACATTAACGTAATACATCTGTTACAAGGAGTGAACCAGTGTTGATAGGCTATTATTAGTTGCAGTCCCCCCCTTTTCTTGGTATCCCCTTAGTTTTTCCTTATTGTCCCTTTATAGTTTCAGTACCCTGTCCAGGACCCGTTACATTTAGTTGTCATGTCTCTTTAGGCTCCTCTGGGTGTCACTAACCTTTTTTCTTGGTACCAGGAATCAAACTCAGGACCTCGTACTTGCCAGGCAGGCGCTGCACCACTGAGCTATAAACCCCAACCTTTAGGCCCCCCTGGGCTGTGACAGTCCCTCAAACTTTGCCTGTTTTTGGTGACC